GATCTTTTGGAACTAATGATAATACTAAATGTAAGATTAATAACGTTGCATTAAAAAATTCATATACAATTTTTCATGATCGTTAAATCTAAATCATTTATTTTGTTCATTTCGGATTTTAAATTAAATCGATTACAAATTATTTGTGAATAGTACCTACGTTTTGTTACACTAACATGGATTTCTAAAGATTTTGCATAAATTTATTTATATAGTATTGAATTAATAATCACATCTGGTAATTTTTAAGTATGAGAGATTTTGAGCTTTTGCACAAAAGTATAAGTATATTTTAAATATCGTTGTTTTAAGAATTTATGACTACCTTAGGCATTTTAATATCAATATTTCATACAAACTTTGTCAAAGAAGACATCTTAGCTATAACTTAAAGACATGAAATAAAACTTTTCGATAACATTTTATCTGCATGTAATAGATGACGGTATTCTCAAAAACTTGCGTCCAATACGGTATTCCACGACAAAGTTCTTCAGTAAACTTTCGCATTATATGGATTTTCTTTGTTTTCATATAATTCAATAAATCTGTCTGTCATATTCTACGTCTACGTGAAAATAACCTGAGATTAGCATCACTACGGTATTCCCAGCATTGTACATGACGTGTCTCAAGTTTCTTGTACAGAAATCCATTAGAAGAACTTTTAAAACTTTCCGACCGACTACGGAAGGAAGGACCGCGCCTTCTGGAAGCAGAGAGGCAGATATCTAGTTTTCTCTCAATTTCTCGTTTTTCTTTTAGACTTTCCATATAATATTTTATGCGAAATCTCCCTTATTTGGATAAACGTCGTGTTCGAACAAGACGCATGGCGGCTGAGGTGGTTTAAACGAATGAATTATGCGATGGTGAGAAAGTTGAGGAGAATGTAGAACGCTGATTTATTGCTATTTATTTTACAGTCGGTTTATAATGGGAAATATCTGTTATGAGAATAAGTTTTATAAAATTGAATTCATCGTGCAAGTGCTTGATATGAAAGCTAAGATTTATTGCCCCATAACTGTCAGTTCTACTAACATACGTGCATGTATATTTATATATATATATATATATTTATATATATATATATATATATATATATATACATTTCTACCAGAACTGGACGACAAACCAAAACGGGTTGATAGTGCGGACCGTAACTGTCCCAAAAAAAACTCACTTTGTTTGGAAATTATTGGAGCTTTTAAGTGCAATCTACAGCTTTCGCGAAATTATGACCATTTGTCTGTTATTGTGGTTAATTTCTATTAATTGTGTTCATTCAAACTTTGGAACCCTAATCGTGAATTACATTTATAGGAACACTGTAAAAAATAACAGAATTGCTCCAAATTCTCCCAAATTACGACTTTTCATTGACCTATGAATTTTAATTTTTTAAAATCGGTCGAGAAGTCCTTATGCAAAAAAATGTACTTAAGTGTGTTGGGAAGTTCAATCAAAAGTTAGCGCCTTTAATCTGAATTGTAAAAAGGTAAAATAATTGATAATTTTATTATTGATGAATGTCGAGTTAAAAATGTCATGTCAATGTTAAAAGAATAAGATTAAATGCTAATAGAACATTTTGTGTATGTATAGTTGAACTAAGTTTTGTATTAATAATTTATCTAATGTCGAACTATTTTTGAATTATTTTCACGAATAGGTACCATCTAATGCAAAAAACAGCTTTTATTATGATTCTAAGTGTTTAAATTAATATGTTTAAGAATGTATTCAATATGTCAATTTTCCATGAGTATACTAGTATAAATTTTTATTAATTCTGAAAAAGAGGTATATAAAAGTTATAAAAATACGTTACTACTGTGCTAAGATGCTTAAAATTACACCGACTTACATAAAATTAATTAATAAATTAAACCTTTAATATTTTAAATCTCGTAAAGCTAATAAAGAGGCGCCGTACAGAAGTCATCCAATATATTCGAATTGATTTTGTTAAGGAATTAAATTACTTCGTCTAGACATCGCAAGCTGTATATTTAATGAAGACGTTTCGTGCTTCGAAGAGTGTAAAAGAAAATTATCTATATTGTATCTAAATATCAAGCCTCTTCATCCGGCCGTTGCTACCGGCTATAGTCCGACTATTATATTATTTATTTATTATCTATGAAACGTTTAGCCGAACCGTTGCCGGCATTCATAATGAGCGCTCAGAGAGGAAGAAAACTTTATTTTTAATAGAGTTGAACTTTGCTTAAATGTAAACATTGTGAAAGAAGTTTATTTAATTTTGTATACACGGCGCTCTGTAGTTTGTGCAACTCCGTGCTGTTTTTTCTATTCAGGTTAATAAGTTGAGATAAATATTATGCGTTTTATAATTTAAATCGTAGATGTTAAACAAGTTTTGTTACTTCTCTGCTACGGATGGAGAAAACTGCAGTGCAATTATTTATTTTTCTTAAAAAGACTTCAAATTGTATATTTAACAGTAGAAGTTACTTTTGAAAGTCGGGAAGAATTCTGCATATAGTGTTTTGTATTCATAAGAAAAATAGATTCAAATATATACACAATTGGAACAAAGTATAAATTAAAATAAAATGATTGGATGGGCATACAAATGGACATAAAATGATTGGAGGACATACGGACGTATTTTTTGAAATTTTTATTCATCTTAGATGAATACCAGTTACATAGTTATTTTAATTAGAAATGAACTATAATAACAAAGAACATTCTGTCCATATAGTATGGACAAAATGACAGAAGGTAAAATATACTGGGATACAAATTGTTGAGAAGTTAGTTCACATAAATAGTTTGGTCTTCTTTGGAACATCAGCACATAAGACATGAGCTCAAGGAAAGCAAATTATACATGGTAATTAGCCTTCGCCAGACTCACAAAATGAAACAGATTTTTTTTATAAATGCAAAAATACGACAAAGCACTCTTTACATCTTCCAGAAAGGTGATTATGGCTTTCTTCATTCTAGACAGTGGCGAAAACGTTACTAAACCTAGACAATTCTTGTACAAGACTACTGTGTCATTTTGTCCATATTACCCCTATTAGTATAATTCATAAAAAATTCGTGATATCGTTTCATATTTAAACCGGAATTCATAATACCGAACAAAATTATAAAATCATGACTTCAAATAAAAAATGTTGTAAAATTTGTTTTGACGAGTAGTAATAAATAGTAATTAGTTTTTAACTATTATAAAAATTGTTTGCCTCACATAAATATTGTTTTGAAATAAAAAGTCCTTGAATTAATATTTGCATAAAATTTTCAACATAGAGAAGTTGAATATATTGTCCTTTGACCACGTCCAAAGCTTTGTGAAACAACATCCTTTATATGTATATATGTTTCTGCATTAAAATTCATCACGGTTATGCAAAATATTAATATCTGAGGATTGGTATAGACATTCTGTTTATATTAATCATACAGCATGCGGTGCGATGTGGTAAAGGGACCCAAAACTCCCTGCGGTCGGTTTTGCTTTGTTTCCGCCGAATAATAGTCAGCCGTAAGCAAATAACAGAACCGCCCTTTTCCACAGAGAATTGTTTAATTTCACGATTCTGCGGTTTGCCAAACCTGGAAAGCATGTTTCACCGATACTTTAATCTTTGGTCTGATTTTCTCTTTTATTTTCCTTTGATGAAAATGCTTTTGCCATGTTTGTATTAAAGTTGGTTTTGTGGTAGGTAAATATCTCTCTTTGTGCTTTAAAGCTCACGGTAACTAATGAATGTGAAAATAAATCGTAAAACATTATACACCTTTGCCGCTAGTTTTACTAGATGCAACGAATTTCATGAATGATTTTTTGGCAGTCTTATTTGTAGAAGTGTAAAACAATTCTAATAGTTACAGTATGACATTAAACTTTTTCTCTTAAATTACTAAACATGGAATCAAAACATTTTTTTATAAATCGTCGTTCAAATTATAAAAATAATAATGGGTGGTACTGCCCAAAAGCAGTTCCATGAGCTGAGTTAAACTCCAACTCGATGCCAGGCGAAAAAGCATATAGAATCAATATTTTTACGGTGATTGATTTATACAAATTCCAAATACAATTTATAATTAAATAAGGAATGTCAAATTTTATTTTATAATTATTTGTGAATTCATCAGAACTTTAAATTTTAATAGCTACTACCTCTTAGATTTTCATGAAAGGTGATATAAACTTTAATGAATACTTATAAATGAATACAGCTTAATCCATATCGTACCATATAGAAAATATTAGATAGTCGCTCTATTTATGATTTTTACGTTTTAATACTAGCAAAGGCCGATTTAGTTTGTGCACTAAGAATATTTATTTCCCTTAAAAATAAGGTAACTTGAATAACATTGAATATTGAAAATTTTCGTCACCCAGGCTATGTACTAAATTTTTGTATATATTATCAATACGTTAATAGCCACAATAATATCAGAGAACTTCATTTGGTGAATGGTAACTTCATTAGATATTTTGATGTATCGAAAAAAGACAAATTTGTTTTGACATAATTCCTGGAAAAACAATATTTTTTATGTCACACATTTATGACTCAAAACCTTTTTTTTCCAACCAAATTGCGTATGTCAGATATATAAATGACGAAAATTCTTCATGTAAAATTTTTAGCGTCAGACACATATGACTGACATGGCAATTTATACTCATTTTTCAAGAACTCTACAAAGTTTCAACTTCTGCATAAATTTTTGGAGCTATAAATGACATCTCATGAACTAACGCTTCCGAATAAAGTGAATCCAATAAAATGTTAAAGCACAAATGCAATCTCATAAACTTACATAGTTCCTAATAAAGTCTAGTTTTTATTTGAAAACCACGGTCATTCGCCCGAACCGAGTCGATAAAACGTTTAATTTCAAATGCCAATGAATGGAAATGAAAAAAAGATCCCCAGAACACATTGTCCACGAATTCCCGTGGAATTTGTGCTCCTGGTACATGTGCATTATCTCACCTGCGGTCTGGCGGCATGAACGAAGCCGGAAATTTGACTCCCTCTGGGCTGATCACGGGGTAGCTGCCTGGTTTCATGTACACTGTGACGTTGTGGTCCGAGCAACTGGACGAGCCTGCAAATGAATGAGATGTCAGTGCGGTCGCATGATGCATGGACTGGACGAATGTGTCGTTACAGGAAATTAAACGTGAAAAGTGTTGCAAAAGCGAATGTCAACATTGATCAGGGTTACGAGTGTCATCGGGGAAAGGAATTTCTACAAGCGAGTTTTGTTTTTAAAGTGGAATGGAAATTCAATATTCAATATTTACCACACATTACTAATAATGGCGAATATCATCGAGACCAGTATTTATCGGTTAATATTAATAATTCATCATGAAATAATAGAAGTACATAACAATTCTCCTTTGCACTTAACACATCCGCCATAGAAAATATAGCAACCAATATATATTTTTTTACGATTTATAACACTTGATTTGCAGAATGTGTGTGTCATGTGACCGGTTTACATTATTTTTTTAAAAATTACATGCAAATGTTTCATATGTTGTAATCACTACTCTAGTCCGGCTGGATTATGTTTAAAACTAAAAATCTACTAAAACACCAGTATCTTCCACCAATTTTATATTTTTCCATTCACAACACACTAAACAACTAGAGATGGGCTTATCATATCCGAAGCCGGATCGGTTAGGATTTGACTCCGCCTCAGAGAGGTACGATATAAGAACAAATCTTTGGGTATAATATTTTTCACAAAATATTAATACCTCACATTCTTTTAATATTTTTTTTTCGAGAATTAATTATACATCAGGTAGTTTGATTAGCTTACCATATTACTTTTACCCAATTATGAAATCATAATTGTGTAAAAGTTATAATATAATACTAAATATTTTTTAGCTGGTTGTATACCATTGAAAGAGCTTATTTACGGACAAACATTATTGTATACAGAATATAGAATACAAAATAGCATTATTTTGAGACATTATATACCTGGAAAGTCCTAAAACTGGCTGTGAGATGAGAAAAAGACCACTTCTTTCGACCCAAATGTATTGTATTAGTAAAAAATCCCAAGTAAATATCTGCACTTGTTAATAGATTTAGTCCGAGGATACAATCCGAGGTAGGAGTTGTGTCGGAGTGAGTTACCCATCTCTATAATCAACCATTCCTAATTTCGTTGACTAACAGAGATTATTCACCATGTGCTGTCACAGAACGATCTAACGAATATCATATTACTTCACTACAAATGATATAACGGTTATTTGTAAATTCTATATTTTAGTTGCCTTGCATTCCCTAGATTCAAGTTCTTGCAAAGTTTTTGAGGGATCTGATTCGTAGGTTTATGAGAAACATTTATAACAACTATTATCAAGCTATTTTTGTTTCCACAAATACGATATGAAAAAATCACCGTAAAAGCACAACACGCCAAATATGATTTTTATTTGGTATTCTGTGGAAAATATTTAGTCATACAGAAAAAACATTCGTTTTCCACCTATATTCCTATAGACTTTTCCGTGTACGTACACAAAAGGTTGCTGAAGCGTAACGCACCACAAAAATGGCGTTAGTTTTTCTTTGCAAGAGTTGATGGTAAATCAATACGTAAAAATATCTGAATGACAAAAGAGCATTTTATGTGATGTTCCGTAGTTTTCAATTTGAATTGTGAAATGCATTTTGTTACTGAATGGCAAATATGAAACAAAAATATTCATGGATTTAAGACCATCCACTATCTTAAATTAGGTTTTCTAATAATTTAACACATTGCTGTGATTAATATAATAGCTGCTGCTAACTAGTATCTTAAATCTCTGTGATTTTTTATAAACTTAATTAATATTCTTCAAGAGTAGTTTAAATATTAAGAGTGTTTAAATATTAAAAAAATTCAACAATTACTTTATAAAACACAAGAACGTGGAAAAATCATAACCATGCAATAGCCAAAATGATTAAGGCTAAAGTGCTCCATAATGTACATCATATTACATATAGCCAAAGTTTGGTTTGGTCTATCTAAATAACCATTGAAACAAGGTTTAATATTTCATATAATTAAATAAAATCTGAATTGAATCTAAAATTTAATTAGTATATAATACTATGATTAAAATGACATTTATCGCCAATCTTAATATATGGTTTTCGACAAAACGATCATAAAATTAGATCTTGTAGTACTGCTTACTACTGTTTTTTAAATTTACATTTGTGAGTATATTATTAGTTTATAAGTTTGTTAATTATGAGGAACAGACAATTTTAAATTCACATTTATTTCGCATAAAAAATAATTGGAATTGTTTATAGTCATTTAATTCATCCACATTTTCTCCCAACAGCTTATATTTCACCATAAACGCCGGAAGCTTTCAAAGCTCGTCGCTCTAGATAAAATGCCAGTCCTAAAATAACTATCAAAATATACGAACTGCTCTTACTTCAATTTAATTTAGAATTATAAAGCAACAAATGCTCGTATGTTATATTGTCCGTAAATTATAACACCGCCATTCTCCGCCGCGCAGCCATAAACCTTACGGTTTGCGTGCTAGTTTATGTTGTTGAATTTCTCGATAAAGAACAATAAGATCGAGTACATAAAGTTGGGTCTGTCTAAGCAAATATACCAAACCAGAGAGAACAAATGAATAGAAGATTGAGCAGAGGGATGTAGACAACCAAGCACCCGGGTATATTTTGTTCTCATAATCGATCTAAGAAGTTTAACTACTACCATAGATGCTACAATGTATCGGAAAGAAAAAATAAAATTGCTAATATATCTGTTAGTAGCTAGTGTGAATTAAATTTACTGTTTAAATATTTGTTGTAACTCAATAGGTATAGTTTTATATTTTCTTCGGTATGAACTACCAGTTCCCGCACATAAAATTTCAGTAGTTCATTCGCAAAACTAAATGATGGAGGATTCATTAGAGTGCGTGATGAAACTGGCACTTATTTATTTTCACAAACTTTTTTTCCATATTGATTTCAAATATACCTTTCGTTTTTGAATTTTCGGATTTATTGAACAACTAAGAGATATTTATCTGCTGTTTTCCCCATGGCTTCGACTCTAAGGCAGCGAGATCAGCCTTGTCCAGTAAGAAAATCACATTAAAAGACTTTTGAAGGCATAAAATAACATATGCGTTATTTTTTATTTTATTTTAAAGTGAAACCAGCACATTAATGTATTTCAAAAACTAGAGCTGTTAGCAGAGTTCTGTTACTTTTTTGGAATCGGCATCCTTGAATTACAAAATACCATTATAACATCTTAAGATAACTGCAAATTTAAGGGGCACAACTAGTGTAACCGCCTAAAAAAAGGTGATTTTTGGGATATTATATTAAAAAAACTACTCTATCAATTATTTCAAAATTTTAGGAATATATTTATACATGTTTTAAGAATACATAGTAAAATTTTTGAAAAAGGAAATGGAATATTTTTAAGTTGGAATGGAATATTTTTAAGGCCCTTCGTTGCTGCAGTGATTCCGGTCTTTTACGTGGATGAAATCCAAAAAAAATTCTCGTTAAACTAGATAATATTGTCTGTAAAATGAACTACGATAAAGAAAAAAAATCAAAAATTGACAAAATGACGGCGTTTTTTTTAAAAAAAAGTCGAATTTTACCCAAAATTTTAGTCGTTTTTGGATTGCCAAAATTCGAGTTTTGATCCGATCAAAAAATCGATAGTTTTATTTACGGAGAACTATGTATAGAACATGTAAAAAAATTGATAGTGATTGGATCATTTGTTTTTGAGTAATCGCTGCAGCAAATTCGGAAAATGCTGTTTCGAGAAAAACGCGTTTAAAGATAAAATGATCGTTGTACTATATACTATATGTATACTTTTTAAATGCCTTTTTAAAAGAACAAAAATCGATTTCTTCAAAATATCACACTAGTTGTGTCCCTTAAGATAATTGCAAATATTGAACACTAGATGCACTAGTAAATGATTTGTATTTGGATATTTGGATATTTTCTGGAATTTAAAATGAGAATCAAATTGAAAACCTAAGCATCATTATCAATATAGCTCTGTATAGTTTTTGGTGGCTCTTAAGCGTATAGTTTACTTCGACATTATTGCAACTTTACTTCTAAAAATAAGTTTGTAAAAGTTTAATTTCTAAAAAATAGAAAATATTTTTTTATAAATTTTTATTGGTACTTTTCCACAAAATAATACCAAATATTATACTCGCTGGGTATAGTGTCTTCGCCTCTTGGATTATAACTTTAGTTGTTCATCTATGTCAGTCAGAACAGATAAAAGGAGCAGAAAGTTTTAGCTTAATTTCGTAGAAATAAGTAATAAAGAGTGAAGGTGAAAACTTTTATAAACAACGGTTCTAAGGGAATATCGCTCCCAGGCCCAACGAACGATGAGAGATATATATGTGCTTAGTAGTTCTGCCAACAGTTTATGTGCGGATCGTATATGCTCGGCACGGAGAGAAATACAGTTACCGCAAAAAGGTGTTAAGCAGAAAGGTGTACGGATTTCGGGCAAAGGTCGGTCCATCCATGTAAATCTGCGGGGAAAGTCTAATTTGGTGAACGGAATACTTTTCTTGTTTTATGTCTTAACCGGGGATGATTAATGCAATTTGCCTAATTGAGTAATCTGGGTACAAAATACTTATCGCATGAAAGCTGTCGTTACAAATTCACTTCAAAGTTTGCACATGGTGGATAGAAACATAAAATTCAAACTACACCGTATTCTACCTTATTCAAATATATCTCATGTCTGATTCCAATTTTAGGTTTATAAAAACATATTGCATGTGGAAAGGGTTGGGTATATTTAATACCGCTGTAGTCATATTTTCATTGTTTTTTTATAATGCAGCTAATATGTTTGAAAAGGTATATAATTTCATGACTCGAGGTAAAATTATACAAAAAATATTACTTTTTGTCATTTCTTAATAGCAATTTCTTAAATACAATTTTTTCTAAGCATAATCTACGTGCAAAAATTATACTAATTAGCCTTCTCTATTGATAATTGAATATGACAGAATATCCACTTTAAGATAA